AACAACTCATTCAGGACCTCCCTGGTGGCCCAGGGGTTAAGGCTCAGTACTATCACCATTACGATCTGAGTTCAGTGCCCGTCTGTGGAACTAATTCACATGTCTGTGGAACTAATTCACATGGCGTAGCAGACCTCTCCTGTCTCACTTGCTGCTCCCCCCAGCAGTGTATTTCAATAGATTTGCATATTCTGCTCCCCAATCTACCTCTGGTGAATATTCTCATCCCCAGCATCTCTGACCTACACCCCAGCTCTTCTACATAAAAAAACAAATAAAAGCTAAACAAATAATAGAACTTCTTGTTCATTAGGAAAAGCCACAATGAGATCTGCCTCTTAAGGCTACACTCTTAATACCATCCAGTCTCACAGGCAATGGTAAGCATTGGGTGTGAAGCAGGGCCACCAGAAAAACCCAGAGATGCCCCTGGGGGGAGCCCCAAAGGGCATCATAGTGGAGGTGTTTTCTTGTTAACATCAGTCAGTTGGGCTTGAGGGGAAAGGCTCTCCTGGGAAAAAGCACAGAGCTTTGCCACTGGAATCGGTTTGGGCAAGGAAGGGCAAGCCGCCTAGGGCAGAGGGCCACGGAGTAGGCCAGGGAAGACAGGGAGGCTAAGGCCAAAGAGAATGTTCTACATTCACTTAAGAAGCGGAGGCATGTTCTCACAGGCAATGGTAAGCATTGAGAGGTTTAGAGGGATACATTTCTAATGTTAATTTTAAATGGTCATGTTTTTTCCCCCAGGAAGGGGTGTCTATCCACATTTAGGAAGATTATACGACTCAGTGCCTCCTGTGAAAAGGAAAAATACAATTATTCTAAACATAAGGGTGCTAAGTCTGTCCCTTTAATTTTATGCTGTGCCATATGGCACCCTGAAGTTTTAGAATATCAGTTGATGGATTGACTTGACAGATCAAAACTTAGTAAGAGATATCTTCAGCTGTTATTTTAATTTCTCTTGCACTAACTCTAGTCGAAGCCCAACTTATCAATCTAGTATAAGGAAGAGGCGACTTCAGGTGACAACCTGTAGGTACTTAGACATACAGGTATGTATGAGACACGCACTCGTGTGCACACACATACACACAAGGCATTAGGTGCAAAGCTCAATTCCACCTTAGGGAGAACAGAATGACACAAACAGGTGCACTTGCACAAATATATTCCATGAAGACAATGAAATAGAAACATGAAAAAATAGCTGCATACCAATGTCTATTTAAAAAGAAATGCTGCAGGTTTTCAGAAACTAGAATTTATTTCTATAGCGGGCTTTCTAAATAAACGTGCTATAAGTTTTTATATACACTTGCCTCCAATAGCCACTTGCAGCTTTAGATTACTTATATGTCAAGGCTGTTCCCACCCCATCAAACAACTGGCTGAAGGCTTGAGTTGTGTCACTGTTTCCAAGAGCTGAGGTATTTGAGTTGATAAGACATCTAGATCCTGTCAGAAACTCTGGGTCCTTATCAGGTACTTGCCATTGATTCGATACTACCTCCAAGAGAAATTGAATTATAGAAGGTTCAAAATCCTGTGATTGCAATGCTTCAAGGCTTAGAGAGGTTAAATGATAGGCTGATGTCACAAGCAGGTTTAAATTCTGTCTGTCTGATTTTGTAGGGGAGGAGGGGAGGGGAGTGGGGAGGACCAGGACGGGGTGGGAAAAGCACAGGGACTACCGCGATGGGTAGGGTGCAGGGTGCATTGGTGGTGGGAACTTCATGGAAACCATACACTGTACAGAATGAAGGATGATGTAATGAATATATTAAAAGAAATTAAAAAAAATAAATTCTGTCTGCCTGGTAGCTCAGTCTGTTTTCTTTCCACTACATCAACTGCCTAAGTAATGAGATTTAGCCAGTTCTGAAGCACAGAATGAAGGGTCGGTCTTTCAATATCGGTAACCTACCATGTTTCTAAGAGGAAAAAGAAATGAGTACAAAGAATTATAAGTCACTTGCAGTGAACTCAGCGCGTGAAAGCAAAGTGCTAATTTGGCCTCAAAGCAAAAATTTGCAAGCATTACGATAGAGCAGTCATGTTTAGGCGGTTTTCTAGGATGTCACACCCAGTGGGATCTTCAAATGCTATCTGGGCTACCTCCCCTCATTCCGAAGGTTATTTTTTACATTAAAAGGAATGGGAGAGAAAAAATAGAACTGGATTCTCCAATTTCAATAAATGGGTTGCTTGCTTATATTTCTACAGTTTTATCTACACTTGCTCTGAGCACTATCTCACTTGCTAACAAGGTAAGCTTTCCAAAGCTGGGATTAGAATGTAAACATCTGGGCTTTATAGTAGAGGTAACAGCTCTGGGTTAAATAACTAAAGAAAACTAGAAACAACTCACTGATACAGCTCAGAGTGTTTCTATGTCTCCACCTTGTGGAAGCTGTCAATACTACAGCATCACAAATACACCGACCAGCCATTGAGGATTAAAAGATAGACTGGACAGTAAAATAAACTCTTTAGTACAGGTTTCAATAAAAAAAAAAAAAAAGATAATAAAAATAATCAAGAAATATTTGACCTTTGGAAACTGATAATGACAATCAAGAAGAAATTTGACAATGATAACTTTGAGGCCATGTTGAATGCCAAACATCTCAGTAATAAAAACTTTCAATTACGTGCAATTTAATTTTATTAATAGTTGTATGCTATTATTTTTCATGTTTATGCAAAACTAGAAACACAAATGATGCTTTAAGTTAGTCAGGTCACTGAAAGTTCATTAACTTGGGCCCTCCGTGGTGGTGCAACTGGTTAAACACAGCACTA